TTTTAGCAGCCTGATATTCCAAATAGCATGAACTCAGAATCAACTGAAAATACAGATGAAGGTCCTTCTAGAATCTCCTTCCTTTTTGTCATGTCTAAATTGTACGAGCGGCAACGCCGAACACAATGGGAAAAACGCACATAAGGTGCGAATAAGTGCAGACGTCAACAATTTTAGTTTCAGCAAAATCTGCTACCGCAACAAACACCTTGCTCTATCTGTGGATATTGCAGCATCGCAGTCGAATAGTATTGGGTAGGGTGAAATATGCTCCAGTTAATCGTATCCAAATTTCGCGCGTTTCGGTCTACTAAGAAAAAAGTTATGAACGAAAAAGCGCCAAAGCATTCCACCGAAGACTTTTGAGCGCTACTGTACATTACATACATACATACATACATACAAACAAACAAGCAAACAAACAAATAATCAAACAAACAGACACGCCAAACTTGTGGATTATATATAGTAATAGTAAATATAGTCAAGTCGGTCCTTGTGTGACGGTGTATGTTTTGGCAGCCAGAGCTCAGTGAAGGAGACACAAAAATGCACATAGAAACACAGAAAGCAACACAAGCATCGACACACACACATGCATACGCATACATACATACACATGCCCACACAGAGGTCATTAAAGGCACAGTTCACGATGAAAATGGTCTCTGAATTCTCCTTCTAGAAATACCCAGCGGCCCTAAGAGTAACAGGGAGGACGCTGTCGAGTCCCAAAACTCACCAGCTGGGGCACGGTGGGAACCTCGTTACCGGATGCCCGGTAACGAGGCTCCCACTGTACCCTAGCTGTTGAGTTTTGAGACTCGGCAGCGTCCGCCCTGTTATCCTTGGGACCACTGAGTAATCCCACCCCTCGATCAATGTCACGTCAGACGAGTATCGAGGCGATACAGGTTCGATCTACAGGGTGCGGCAAAAGTTCTGGCATCGGTAAATATGATCGCAAGAACGGTCAAATCGATCGATACATGATACTACACCAACAGCATTTATCAACAGCTATATAGATCACACAAACAACCTAAATTCCAAAGTGGCCTCCTTTTGCGCAAACACAGGCTGAAATTCTCCTAGGAGATACGTCGACGGCGCACGGAGGTAGCCTTCGTCGGAATCCTCCCATGCTTCAACGTGGGTTGCACGTGGAGCATCCAAACTTCCATGCTTAGTAGAGCAGGCTTTCGTCTTAAGAACTGATCACACGGAATGGTCCAATGGATTTGGGAATGGACTGTTTGGGGGGGGGGGCAATCGTCCGACGAGATGAGGTTTGGGAAGCGCGTTCCGCACCGGTCCTGTACCACTTCGGACTTGTGTGCTGGAGTTAAGTACTGCTGATAAGTCCATGTCCTATGGCCGAAAGGGATTTTGCCGAGGGGAGTACCTCCTTCTCCAACACGCCTTTTAGGTAGGTCTTGCTATGCACCCTGACCCCTTTCTCCGAGAAAATCGGGGCATCTTGCCGTCCGATGTGATTGCCCCAAAAACCATCGACTTGTGGTGTAAGACCTCTAGAACCCCCACACAATCGGCAGATGGCCGAGTGATGAGGCGATGTTTTTCTCTCAGTCTTTTTTCTCTGTTGTTCTTTTTACTGCTGCGATACCTAATTTCATTTTCTACCCCAAAAAGCTAAAAAAGGCGGGTTATTTTTGCTGTCACTAGGGTTTTTTTTGTTAACCTATGCTTATGAGTGAATGAATTTTTACTTACTGTGATCAGCTATTCGCACCAGGAGCCACTCGTACTCAATGACATACATTGTATAGTTTGTAAATCGCCTCATTCCTCTTCAATTTCCTGCTCTCATTCTCGTCCAGCCCCCTTTTAACGACTCTTCGAAGCCCTTTTTCACTTTGGAAACACCGATTCTCCCTCTTCATCAAACTATTTTCCATCTTCCATTTTTCGTCTTAATCTGGACTACCCTAAATTATCGTGAATTGTGCCTTCATTTTGCGAAGTGCGAAGATTTTCAAGAAGTTTTTTCAACATGTAGCGTCTTCAGGTGCTTATCTTGAAATTTCATCATTTTGATTCAGCCTCCATAAGAAAGAATGGGGTTGCTGTCGCTAGATGTATTACACAAGATATTTGAGTATTTCAGTATTTCATTCATTCATAAAGCCAAAACTTGCCTTCAACTCAGTGTCTTTTACTAAGAACCTTAAATAAGCGATACACGAGAAGAATGGAAATGGTAGTCACACCTAATACCACAGAGGTTTATTCAAAAATGCTGTTGCGATTGAAGTAATAAAGAGGAACAGTGTCTCAATATATCTTCTGATGAAAAAGTTAGGAAAGAGAAGTAAGTTATTAAAGAACACACCGCAACTACCTATGTTATTCGGCTGCCGGCGATAAACTACTATATTTTTTCAAATAGAGACTTACTGCAGCTCAGCCGTAATCTTCTTGTTACTGCGATTGACGCGACTCCTCATCCGAAAATAGCCAGGTCTCATTAGCACAGGCTTTCTCTCAAAACAACGCATTTATAAAGGCCTTCGAACTGCATTGTAGTCAAGGAGAATTTTCTCGACGGTTCTCGTGCGGTTAAATGCCTGAACCTAAGACCAGAGATTTACTCGCCCTTTGATATGTTTCTTCAAATTTCTATTTGTTGAGATTGAGTCATTGCCCCGGTCGCACAGTTTGAAGAACTATAAAATTTTGATCTCAATGACTTCGAAACTGGCTACTGTACTGGCAAAAACTCTGACACCTTTTGGATCACAATATGGATATTGGATATGTCTTCACAGGCTCTTTTCATTAGAACTGATAGTGAACATTTTAACTAACACCTGGTTTGCAGGAGGAGGGCCTCAAAACTGAGCAGGAGCAAGCCACGAGAACTGTGAGTTCGAATGTTTGCTTCACTTCCCTGAATTCCTATTCTTTGCACTTTTTTCGCGCGCACGAAGAATCCGATGTTTTATAGTTTTCGCGCATTTCTCTCGTAGAGGACACCTTCGGCGATTGTCTGAAACACTGAGGACCTTCTTTCAAAGTCACTTCACTTCTTTTCCGACGGTCTTCTCATTCTTGGACTAAGCCTCGATGTTCAATTTTCTGCCGGAGGATCATTTGTCTTCATGTTTCGAGCACATCTCCGTTCCAACGCATACGTTGCTTCAGTAAGACGGAAAGCTGTCTATATGATTGCCCTAGGCACTCATTTCTGCACCTGTTCAGTCGCATTCTCAAGTTAGCATTCCAGGGGAATTAAAATGTCTGGGATGATTTTTGCTAACCAATCAGTACTCACTGACACGGGCATTCAGGCTTCGCCACTGCCCTGTGCAGTTTGTTCTTGAGCGTCGGGGAAACCGTCAATCGTAGCAGTACTCTGATTTCTTTTTTGTTACGCATATTCAGCGTTCAATAGCTTGGTCAACATCCCTCAAGTACCTGTAGGCGTAGTATTTTTTTATCTATTATTATCTATTGGTAGCAAGGTCTGCGTCCCTCATTGAGCCTAGGAGATTGATTTTTCACATCCAACTGCAGGACATTTCATTCTAGAAGAACCGCATTTTTTCATTTCGGCTTAGGAGCTTTTGTGCTATTTGCTCAAAGAGCGATGCTTCCAATTAGAAAGAGGGACGTGCTCAGAGCTAATCGTTTGTATGGCCTCAACGCTGCATCTGCTCCCTTTGTCAGGGTGGGGGAATTTTCACGAAGACCGTATATATCCCTCATAAGCAAAATAAATGCTCCGTGAACCACACTTTCTCGACCGCCTTGCAGTGGTACACTGTTGGATTCCTTACGTGGTTCAAATAGTACCAGGTGATGGGATCGCAACTTTTCCTGATAGGTGTTTACAATTTTTGGACGAATAAAGATACTACCCTTTGTCAAGCCCCAATACAGTCTTTTTGCTCCTAGTGAGTTGGATAGTTCTTTTTGAAATTGAAATCTGAGGGAGTTCTATGTTCGAAGCATGCTTGCTTTGAGGGCACGATTTACGATAAAAAAGGTTACTGTTTTCTTCCTTCAGGAATACTCAGCGCCCCCATGGGTGGTAGAAGGGACCCTCTCGCTCCCACAATCTCGGCGCTTAGGGCATAGTGGAAGCCCCGTTGCAGCCGTAATTCGCTTTCCCGCCCCTCGATCGGTGTCACGTTAGACGAGTGTCGAGACCATACAGATTGCTATTATTCGTTCTAGGACCCACGCACAATCAGCTAATCGCCGAGTGATGGGGCGATGTTTTTCTCCCATTCTTTTTTCCTCTGTTTTTCTTTTTGCTGCCGCGATCCCTTATTTGATTTACTACTCCTAGAGGCTTAAAAAGGTGAGCTACTTTTGCTGTTACTAGAGTTTTTTTGTTCATTTATGCTTATAAGTGATTGGATTTTCGCATTGTCTGTTATTCGCACCAGGACCCACACGCGCGCAGTGAAACACACTGTTTAGCTCGTCCGGACGCCCCACTCTTCTTCATTTTTCTGGTTTCATTCTCGTCCAGCCCCTTTTTAACGGTTATTCGAAGCCTTTTTTACTTTGGAAACACAGATGCACGCAGTTTCTTCACGTCATTCGCACTATTTTCGATCTTGTATTACTTTTTTCATCATAATCTGGATTAGCCAAAATTATCGTGAACTGTGCCTTTAAAGCAATTCAATGCGAGCTTCGCCCTTCTGAGAAAACGGCGGCAATATTTCTCCACGCTCTTGCAATACTTCTTCCAACAGATCCTATTCCAGGAGCCAGACAACTCAACTGATCCCGTGCTCTGTACTTCTAGACCACCACTTTACTCACAAGGGGTGGATACTTGATCGCAATGGCCATTCAAGATGAGATGTATAGCCTTATAGGTGGTTTCGAACGCTGATCTCAAATCTGTGTTTCAAATCTGCGAAACGATTCTGGGAACAAAGTTACGAGACCAGTTCCTCCTTGTGTTAGAGCACTGCAATGAACGGATCACCGAGCCGAGCAAAGCCTTTACCTGTACAACGGTGGCCTAGCGAGTACCGTCGAGGACTAGTAGGCATGTCATCAAGGTTCGCTTCCTTGATGCATCTGCTCGTTTCGCTTTTCCATGAAATGCATTCTAAACGCTTGCAAAACGTTGTTGGGCGCAATGTTGGCATCCACAGGGCTCCCTTTAACAATTTAAGAACACTGAAAAGGTATTTCAAAGGAAGTTTTCTTGCTCCTCACCGGCCAAACAAGGGTGGAGCTTCAGCTCCTGCAAAAGAAGAGTTCCAAACATTTGCTCAAAATGGGCTCAAGAGGGTAACGCTCTTCGACATGTTACCAGCAAATCTTCTGGCCGAGTGTGGCGTCATCATATTCGAAGGAGGGCTTGCGCTTTTGCAGCATAACGTGGGCACCATTAAGAGAGAGGCGGTAATGAATGAAGACTTATCGAACTGTACTTCTCGATGCTATGAAAACAAGCCCGTACTTCTTTCCGAAGAAATCGAGACCGTGTAATGCGATCACATGATCCTTTGCGGTCGCCTGATGACAACAGCGACGACAGATCCGTAACTTCGCGAAGGAAACCTCGTACGTTTGTGAGGATGTAGAGGTTCAGAAGTGAAACGTAGCCTTCATGTTTGTGATCTGGCCCAGAAGCTCCAATTTTGTGGCGCTGATAGGAGAGTCTGTAGCCTTCTATAGTTCCGCTGTCAGAAGCCGTATCTCTCCGAACGTGAGAAACAAGCGAACCGATCTGCCTACCTATGGAGATTGGCAGATAAGTTGGAAGGTTAAGCTGTCATACAATTAATATAGGAGTCTCATAGCACGACAGTGATTTCCACTGGATTAGCACGACAGTCATTTCCACTGGATGCCGCTTCAAATCAACAATGAAGGCTCATAGGAGACAACTTCAAAGCTAGTTGTAGGTGGACCTGGAGTTTCGAGTGCAGCCGTGATATCATGCCCCTCCGCACCACCACGCTTACCTCATGAAAGGGCCTGTTGAGAGGGCGTTTACTTCAAGAATAGAATCAGCGGATAATCATATGTACACACAAAGCGATAAACTGTTGTCTTACAATATTTTCTCAATAATGCCGGTTAACTTGGACCACCGCTTCGGAAGCGCGAACAGTATCCTAGAATGTACGGACCGCATCCCTCCCAAAGAGGGCTGTACCCGGATGAGTCACTCGACCGCCGTTCAGCGTAAGTGCAGGGAGCCGAGGATTTCGAAACACCATCTTGACTGTGCGGGGTAGAGAGGCGTATATATTCTGTCAGTCGAGATAAAAAATTTATTGGTTTACTATTATCCGAAAGCCTGAACCCGCTCCCAACATTGAGCCCAAAAGCGTTTTGCAAGCGTTTGGGAGGCATTTCATAGAAAAGCAAAACAAGGGTATGCATCAAGGAACCGAACCTTGATGTCATGCCTACTAGTCCACCACACTACCCGTTAGGCCACCGTTGCACAGGTACGGCTTTGTTTATCACGGGTATCCGTTCGATACAATGGTATAACACAGGAGAAGGATTTGTCTTATAACTTCGTTTCCAGAATCGCTTCGCAGCTTTGGAACACAGATTTGATCAGCATTCGAAGCCTCCTACAGGGTATACATCTCATCTTGAATGGCCACGGCGACCACGTATCCTTCCCTTGTCAGCTTCATCTTCCCTACGGCTCGATGACTTCATCTTCTGTTGAGCTTACTGTCCCTCTTCGCTGAGAGGCCTAAGTTGCTGTCTATTTCGGTCCAAGTTTCTGATTCCTTCCTGGAAAGCGTTAATCCTTTTTTACTTAGCCACAGCTGATCTGAAATGACTGTTTCAAAACATGTTGCACGTGACGACTTGAATGGGTCGGTAACCGGCTTTACTTATCTTACAAGGGAAGGACAATTGGTCGCAGTGGCCATTCAAGATGAGATGTATACCCCCGTAGGTGGTTTCGAACGCTGATCTCAAATCTGTGTTCCAAATCT